GAGTAAGGAGCAGGAAGACAATCCAGGAGTGAGTAGCAGAGGCTGGGGACGGAGCTGGTGGCAGCCTGACAGGAAGGGAGAGGGTCAGTGGGAAAGGAGCTGAACAGAGGTGGACTTGACAGGACTCAGAACCTGAGGGAGGGGGCGGGGGGCAGGAGGGAAACAGGTGTGGAGAAAGAGAGGAAGAGCAATATGGGTGTTTATCTGAAAGGGTGGGCGGAGGGTTGGACTCTTAGAAGCTTAAGACACTGAATCGAGAAAATCTTAGTGAGGAGACTTCCCCTAGAGGTCGTGAGGAGAGCCATGAAGGGGGCATCTGAACTGGGATGTGTTTTGAAGGGGACACCGTAGTACTAAAAGACGGTTTGGTGTATGTGAGAAGGGGACCCTGAGGACGAGGACGAGGCCTGAATTTTTCAAGCAAGAGAAGACAGAGAATCCTTAAGTAATTAACTCATACAGGCCTTTTTGAGCCGCGACCAAATGGGAGTGGAGAGGGACGGCTTTTAGTCAGAGGTTGTTGACAGGGATGTGTCTAGGAAGAGTGCAGGTCAGTGGGGAAACACTGGGGAATAATAGGGGTGGGGAACAGTTGATTGATGATGTTGGCTTTGTTTTAGTTGTTGACTTGATTATAAGAACAAAAGAGCCAGGATAGTTGAAGAAATCTGAGATTCCTTCCAGCATTCATCCAATCATCCCACAGTGACTTTAAGGAAAAAGACCAAAAGGAGAGAGAGGGATTGGAGACTGTTTATGGAAAGTAGAGAAACCAAGTGGTCTTTTTTTTTTAGGATTTCTCTGGGTGTAAGAAGTGGGGTGCAGGCCAGAGGTAAGGGTGGGTAGTGAGAGGGTTCACCAGAGACAAGAGTGGGGAGCAGAACAGATCTGAAATACAATGCTGAGGGGAGCAGTGGGAGGACAGGAGAAGTCTGCTGACCCATGTCGGTTAACAAGTTGGCTGATTGAACTCATGATGCAATAGTTTGATAGTGCTGACACTAACCCCTGCACCACCGCTAAAACCCCAAAATGAAATGGTCTTAACTACAGAAAAACAACTTTTATAATTTTTGGGTTGCCTCTCCAAGCCAACCTGCTCCTTCTCCCCTTAGCAGTGTATTTTAGTAGATCTGTCTGTTCTCCCCACTCCGTCTCTGGTGGACCCAGTCACCCCCTGTGCCTCTGGCCTGTGTCCCAGTTCTTGTATGCATAAATAAATCTTAAAAACTAAGCCTTTGGCGTTAGTTCTGTGGTTGGTATAATTTTTGAAGTATTCTGATCCTGAATTTCTTATTTAAAAAGGACACTTAAAATCTATGTGTAAAGTTCATTGGAACAGGAAGATATGGATTTATCTACAGATCGAATTGAAGAGGTACAAAACGTCCTTAATGCTATGCAGAAAATCTTAGAGTGTCCAATCTGGTAAGTCAACAGAACAGTTTATTAGCAATTCTTCCTTATATGATTATTTTCTATGCAAATGAATGAAATGAGTTTACGTAGTAAGGAAAAAAGTTATAATGTCTATTAAAATTAATATCGGCTATTAGAAATACTGTTTTGCCATAAAAAAATCAGAATGAGATGTTTCCATTTAAAACATCATGGATGGAACTTGAGAGCATTATGCTAAGGGAAATACATCAGAAAAACAAGGACCATATGATCTCACTTATATGTGGAATCTTTAAAAATAAAAAAAAAAAAAGACAAAGAGCACACTCAGGTACAGAGAACAGATTTGTGCCTGAGGAGAACAATGGAGAGAAGGGTGAAATGGGTAAAAAAAATACAAACTTCCAGTAGAAAATAAATAAATCATGGGGATGGAATGTACAGCAAAGTGACTAGGTATTAATATTATACTGTATTATGCATTTGAAATTTCTAAGCATGTACATTTTAAAAGCTTTTATCCCAAGAAAAAAAATTGTAGCTATGTATGATGAGGGATAATAACTAGACCTATTGTGACCATTTTGCAATGTAGAAGATAAGTACAAATATTGTATGATGTTGTATACCCAAAAGTAACTTGTTCCATGTTAGTGATACCTCAATTTTAAAAAAAAAATTTAGCAAACTCTGTCTTTTATCCAAAGAATCCAGTTTGCAATAATTTCTTTTAAAATGATTACACTATTAATGTTGCTATTTTCTGAACTGAAGAACTTTAAGGATGTGGAAATTTAATCCTTTTTCTCTACTCTGCCTCTCTCCCTCTCTGATGCCTGAACACACACAACATTCTGTCTTTGTTTGTGCAGACTGTTTTCATTATTATGCATTGGGCCAGGAATCTGACTTGCCTTAAGCAGTGCCTGGGCTTTTCATCCAATTGTAAAACCAGCTTGATCACTTGAAATGTACATAGTTAATCATGGTAAAATAAGACCCTGAATGATTGGTGTTTGTGAGTGGGTAGATCTTCAAACCTTTGACTAAATCTAGCCCTTTATGTTTAAATAAGAGTATTGCAAGCCTTCAAAGCCTTGAAAAAAGCCTCTTACTTCTTGAGTGAGCCTTTGTTTTTCTTCACCTACAAAATACAAGAGGATGACTATTCAAAATACAAAAAAATGAGGTAAAATACACAAAGATTGAAATATAGTATGCAAATGTATACTATAGTGTACAAGTCAGTGAGTTTTGACAGGCATATATTAATATAGCTATATAAGGCAGTAAAGATACAGCATATTTCTTTCCATCACCTAGACGGTCTCTTGTATCTATTCAGGAATTGTTGGAGACCTATAAGTAGGATTATTTCAATATAATAAGTTTCTTGTATAATTACATTTTTTGTGCACATTAAATGAATTATACTAAGATGAAGCTGACTAGCTCCATAACACAGAAGGGCTATAAAACCCTTCAGTCACTAGATGATCTTTGTGGTAGCTAAATAAATTAAAAATAAATAAATTAAAAAAAAATAAATTAAAAGCCATACTTCATAATCTATTGGTGAAAAACCAACAAGGAAATTTAGAAGAATTACTGCTTAGCTTCTCCTGTCTTATTCTCTTTACTCTGGTCATTCTAGCCCCTTAAATGTTCTTCAGTCATGTGACCTACTCTGCCTCTCAGTTTTTATGCTTTTTGTTCCCTCTGGCCTTGAATGTTCTTCCTCTGATAATTGTATGGCTCACAAACCTTGATTGAAATTTCATATTTTCAAAGAAGTATTTCCAGACAACTGTATTTTAAGATGGCAACATTCCCAACACACTCTTTAAGTATTCCTTGTGTCCTTTTTCTCCATAACTCATTACTGACACTCTTCTTTTTTTTTAAATCCACACAGAATATGATCTCCATTATATCAGAGGTTACTTTTGTTTCTTTCATGTCCTCAATGGTTAGAACCTGGAAGATAGTAGCTACTCAATTGTAGACAATCATTTGTTGAAGGCATTAAATAATAAACTAAATTTGTTTTTTGATGGGTTAGTGGCTTTTAACATGTAATGGTGAGTGGTGGACAATACTCAATGAATGGCAAAGCTGCACCTGTTGCCTCTTACCTTCAATACAGAAGAGTAAATTCAAACACATTTTCCTTTGTGCTTCATTAAAGTTGTTTTTCCTATTTGGAGTGAATTAAAATAAGATTAAAGAAAATGCAAGTGTGTTTTCAGAGTTACAAGATTTATAAGTAACCTTCTTCTCCCTTGCCCCTCAACATTTCAACTGAACAAAAACAAAAGCTAAATAAGATTTACAGCTTAATTTATAAAACAGAGCCAGAAAAGCAGGAAATGACAATGTGGAAAAATAATTGTTTTTGAAAAAAGCAAGAAACTTACTCATGATAATTACTAAGAGAGATCAAAAAGTCCTAAACAATGTGGCATTTGGGCCCATTTATTTTACATTTCCATGGGACTTAGTCATAAAAATGTAATGTTCTTTCTCATTCTGGCAAATTAAACCATCAATTAAAACACTTAGATACATAAAAATTAAAGATGCAGGAATGAAGTTAATTTTCGTTTCAGTCAACTGTTGTATGTTTTCAAGCTCCTTATTTTTTGTAATGTTTTCTATTAGACAGACTTCAGCTTTTAAACTAGTTTGCTCGTGTTTGGGCTTGTTATACCTTAAACTCATTTATATCAGAGGTGGAGGGTAGGACTCATACATACTTCACTTTTTTAAAGCAGTGTAATTTGCAGTTATGTTTTAATAAATGATTCCTGATCATGACTGCAAACTGGTGTCTTTTGATTGTAGCTTTTAGATCTCTCCAACTAAAATTCATTCTGCTGCCCTCTTGAGTCATCGTTGGCATTTTTTCGGATATTTGGTAGTTGTTTGTAATTTTTTACTTGCGACTATGTAGAAGAATTTGCTAAATAATATGCATCCTAGGGCCGCTCTGGTGGCCTACAGGTGAAGTCTAAGCACTGTCACAACTACAGCCTGAGTTCAATCCCTAGCGAAGGAGCTGACCCACATGTTGTAACAGACCTCTACTGTCTCATCCAATGCTCCCCTCAGCAGTGTATTTGAGTAGATCCATCTGTTCTGTTCCTTACTCTGATGAATCCCTTCACCCCTTGCACCTCTGGCCTACACCCCAGTTCTTCTATGCCAAAATAAATAAATAAATAAAATGTGTGTCCTAGTAAATGGTGGTGATTTTTCATGCAAAATCTAGCTTTTTTTCCCAATCACTTATCCATGTTGAAACTCAGAATACAAATTTGCAGTTAAGTATAAAATCTTGCCTAGTTTGAAAGTGTTTAAAACATTTCAATGTGTTTCTTAATAAACATTTACTCTCACCAGGGTCCAAAAGAGAAACATTTAAATTTCTTTTCATTCCCAATTTTTCAAGCTCTTCCTTGGAAAGTTGTTACCTTTTTACCATATTAAGAATTTTCATCTGTTCAAAGTTTGTGTTTACAGTCTGTTTGTAAAACTTGGCTTATAATTACCATGCTGAAATATAATTATTTCAGAACTGAGTCATTGGTGAGAACGAAAGCCATCTGGTATCATCACTAAATCCAATTTCTCTTTTATTGAGAATCTCTTTGATATATAGTTTATCTCAGGAATAGTGATTTAGTAACAAATCAGAGTTCCCTTTGTCAGGTTTTTCTTTTTAAAACCACATTTGGTGCTGATAATACTACTAAGATAGGTCTAAGTCACCTAAGGTGAAATTTTCTCAGAGTTTAATTTTATCCTCACAATAACCTGAATAACTGGTAGAGGGGATAGATGGCAGAGAGGGAAACTGAGTTTCATGTGGAGTACTTGGCCTGAGATTGTTCTGCTGATTTAAAAAAAGAGAAAGAGCTGGTAGTAGAAATCCAGGCTTCTGGTCATTCTAATACTTTTCTTTTCATTGCCTCATGATGCGTCAGAAACCCCATGATTACAAGAGTTGTGTTACCAAGCCCTTCACAAGAAGGCTATTGTCCCCCAGCTTTGCTTGTGACCCTTTTCTAAAATGTTAAACATTTAATGAAAAGAACCACATTCCTGGCGCTTATGGTTACCTGGTCTTTGATGTCCTGCCTGAATTTTACCAAAAACCAGTTTCAAAAGCTCTTATCCAGAATAAAAGCTGTAAGTTCTCACCTGCTCAGGCCCTCAGCTACTTCTTTGATCTCTTTTATTACTACATCCCTTGGTCATTCCATTCTAGCACCTTGGCCTTCTTGCTCTTATACAAAAAATAGTAGGCACAGTTCTCTTCATAATCTGTCTTTGTTTTTTCGCTAGAATATTTTCCCAATTGTCAAAAATCTTGTTTTCTCACATTATTCAGCTGTTCTCCTACGTTATCTTCTCAGTGAGGCCTTTTCTGACCACCCTGTAGTCAGTTATAGTACAACTATAAGGGCAGGCTTTATTTTCTTTACTCTTATATTTTCATCTCAGGACAGAGCATACAGGTAGTAGGTACTCAGTAAATGCTTCTTATATTAAATTTCTTACAGTAAATGAGTTAATCTTAGAGGACCTTGACATTTTTGTGGTTAGGTCAAAATGGGAGTTTGGTGATATACTTTCTAAAATTTTAATACTTATCTAGGTTTATTTGATTGTTTTTCAAATTTTTGTTAGTATTTATTACATCATTATTATAATCACAAATCAAAATGGTGCACCTCCTGAAGTGATACAAAAGTATGTAGTATCATCTGTAACGTGTTTTTGCCAAAGAATGGAAACCTGAATTTGAGTGATCTTCTAGGTCTAGTTTACAGGAAATAAAGAGACTGGGGTGCATGTTAAACCACACAATAGGATTACAATTAGCAAAATCCAAAATGTAGGAAATTTTGCAGTGTTCACAATGGTATGCAATGTGTGGATTTTGACTTAAATAAACATGATTATAATTTCTTTGTAATGAAGAAAATTGGAATATTAACTGTATATAAGGTGATATTAAGGAAAGAATCATAGGACTGATAATGTTGTCATATTGATGCATTTTTCAAAGCTGTTGTCAAATGTAGAGTAATTGATATGACAGCTGAGATTAGCTATAAAATAATATGGGCTTTGGGCAAGTGAAACAAGATTGGCTAAGGAGTTGAAAATTCTTGAGACTGGGTGATAGTCAGTGGTGTTCATTTTACTATTACATATATAAATGCTTAAAAATTTCATATTAAAAAATTAGAATAAAAAGGCCTTCATATACAAAAGAAGTGCTATGGGAGAATTCATAAGAAATTTGTTTTTTGGAGCTTAAACCTTAGTTAAAATATAGGATATACATCTGCAACAACAGTTCAAAAACCTATCAGTGAATACTAGTCATCAGCTAATCTTTTAAATGCTAATGATAGTATACAGTGTTGGAAAGATTAATATATTAGCTTTTATATCTAGAAATTGAATGAAGGTAAGGGTCATCTTCTCTGTATTTTTAGTTCCAAAAACAGCAGATTTTTAATGCATGTTGAATGAATTTATAGTCTTATCTTTACACAGAGATAGAAGCTAACAGTTGAATTTATTTGCTAAGGTATTTTTATTTATTAAGCCTCATTTATGGTCTCCCTCTTTTTTTCTCTCCTTCTAGCCTAGAATTAATCAAAGAGCCTGTTTCCACAAAATGTGACCACATATTTTGCAAGTAAGTGTGAATGTTTTTGCTTTTGTTTTAATTTTTTTTCAAGATTTTATTTTTATTCATTCATGCATATAAGAGCTAGTGATTGAGACATACCCTGAATGACAACTAAGTATTTCTTAAGTATCTTTTCCTTAACAAATAAGCATGTCCCTAGAAACAGGGCACATGATGCATAGTCTGTTGCCTTCTCACCCTAAATCCTTGCCTCCCAGTTTCTGCCTGGGTAACCAAAACAAGTGATCTATTTCTTATGTATCCTTTCAGGAATTCTTAAATTCAAGATTCCCTAACTTGGTATTCATGAATGGTTTTTGTTTTAATTTCCAAAATTATGTTCAATTATATTATAAACTATGGGTATGTTTGCTTTCCTGGGAAGACATTCCAACATTTCTTTAAAGCTTAAGATGTTTTCGTAAGCTAAAAAATGTGCAGTGCTCTGCTGCATTAAGGATAGTGATGGCTGGCTGAAGTGGAAGGAACCTTGTTTCTGTGGAGTAATGTCCTGTATCATAACTTGGCCATCTTGCCGGGCCCTTCCTCTGAAACCTACCTGTTTTCCCACTCTTCTGTCCTTGCAAGGATCCAGAATCTTGTTCCCACTCTCTTTCCCTTGTCACTCCATTAGCATCGATCTGTTTCCATACTCAGCCCTTCTTCCTGGCCAGGTACCAGGGCAACACAGCTTTATCTCTGTGCATTGAGAAATTTTAGTTTTGTGGCCTCTGGAGAAAAGCTTCTCAAACTCTGTCATGTAGGACCACCTTTTTTTTTTTTTTTTTCTAAAGATTTATTTATTTATTCGTACAGAACTGGGGTACAGGCCAGAGATGCGGAGGGTGAGAAGATTCACCAAAGACAGAGCGGGGAGCAGAACAGGCAGATGGACAAGTACACTGCTGAGGGAGCAGCGGGCGGGTCAGGAGAGGTCTGCCACACCATTGTGGATCTCCTCCGGGGCAGGCCGGGATCGAACTCATGTGGAAGTGGCTTAAGCTTCTTTGTGCAGTGCTTTAACCCGCTGCGCCACCAGGGAGGGCCGACCACCTTTTTTCAAAGATCGGCACTTCATTACAAGGAGCTGAAGATTAACCTTTTAGTACTGCGATGAGAATCTTTCTGAAATATTCTTTTTGCTTTCTTGCCTTCTTGAGTAATAAAGACACACTGTTATATTGTATAAAGAAGATTAAATTATGACCATTCATCACTTTGAGAGTTTGTGAAAGAAGAAAATTACATGCAGAAGAAATAATATGAACAAAGGTGGGATTAAAAGAAAGTAGGATATGTCCATGATGCGTATCTATCTGAAGTGATATTAGAAGGGGAAGGAGCCCCTAGAAGTGAGATGACATTTGCAAGATAGAGAAGATCCAGGAGGAGGCAGAAGGGATTGAAAATAGAAAATGGCTACAAAAAAAGAACTTTTATTTATAAATAGGAAAATTTTACAGAAAGGTTTTGAAGTAGAGGGCCTCCCTGGGATCTAGTGATTAAGCCTCAGCACTATCACCACTATGCCTGAGTTTGATCCCCAGGCAAGGAGCTAACCTTGTGTCACCCACTGCTCCCCTTAGCATATTTCAATAAATCCACCTGTTCTGCTCCCCATTCTGTCTCTGGTGAATCCTCTCACCCTCGCACCTCTGGTCTGGTCTGCACCCCCATTCTTCTATGCAAAAAAAAAAAAAAAGGGTTTTGAGGTGGGGTAGGGAACATGGAATAGTTTGAACTCAGTAGAGGTGAAAACATCTTCGCTTAGTCTATTTCTACTGAATTGAGAGGATTAGAGTTGAATTAAAGGAATAGAGGGAGAAAGACTTAACTGCTTATTTGTTAATTATGATAAGCGGGAACTAACCATATTTTAAATTATGTTTTGAATGATATGGTAGAATGAAAAGTTTAGTATAACACCTATGGTTGGTGAGCTTTTTTGTGAAATCTCATCTGTAATACTTTTATAATCTGAGCAACACCTTGATTCTATGGTCAGAAAGTTGGAAAAAATACCCCAGTCATTAATTGGATCTTCTCTGGGGACCTCCCTGGTGGCACAAGGGGTTAAGTCTCAGCACTGTAAAGCTATTGGCAGTCACTGCAAGCATGAGTTTGATCATTGACCAGGGAAATGATCCATATGGTGCAACAGACCTCTCCTGTCTCACCAACTGCTCCCCTCAGCACTGTATTTCAGTCAGTCTACCTGTTCTGCTTCCCACTTGTCTCTGGTAAATCTTCTCACCCTCCATACTTCCAGCCTATATGCCCTTTCTTGAGTGCATAAATAAAAAAATCTTTTAAAAAATTAATTGTATTGGGCCCTTCCTGGTGGTGCATTGGGTTAAAGCCATAGCACTATGAAACTACCTGTAGCCACTGGAGCACGAATTCAATCCCTAGCCAGGGAGGTGATGCACATGGTGCAGCAGACTCTCCTGTCTTGCCTACTACTGCTCCCCACTCTGTCTGTGGTGAATCTTCTCATCCCCCGCATGACTGGCCTGTATCCAGTTCTTGAGTGCATAAATAAATAAATCTTTAAAATAATTCTGTCTTCTCAGAATGAACTGTAATTGCTAACAATAAATCAACTTTATTGACTGGGGTAAGCTTACAGTTCTGAAATCTTTTATGAAATATATGGAAAAGATAATAGTACCAGTCAGAGGAAAAAATTAATAAGGCCATCTATGCATTAGTTTGCAATTTCTAGACAACAAATGAAATGTGTAATACTTTTTGTAAGATCTAAAGCCACATTTTCCAAAGAGATAAAACATGAGCCTTAAATTTTTTTGACCTTTTGTTTGGTTTCTCTATATTCCACACATAAGTGAGACCATCTGGTATTTATCTTTTCCCTTCTCACTAATTTCAGCAAGCATAATCCCTTCCAGCTCCATCCGTGTGGCTGCAAATGACATGAGTTTGTCTATTTTGATCACTAAATAATATTCCAATGTATAAATATACCACAACTTTTTGATCCAATCATCTTTTTTTTTTTTTTTAAATAATATTTGACTATTTTTGTACAAGTTATATATGGCCTTAAGTTTTCATTTCTCTTAGGGTAATGGAGGAGTAGAATTGCTTGCTTAACATTTTGAGGATCTGCATAATACTGTTTTCCAGAGTTGTTGCATCATTTTTATTGATGCAACAGTGAATGAGGATTTCAATTTCTCTACTTTTCCACCACTTCTTATCTGTCATTTTGATTATGATCATCCTAGTGGGTATAAAGTGGCATCTATTTGTGACTTTGAATTTGCATTCCTTATTGACTCATAATATCAAGCATCTTTTCATGTTCTTGCCTACTTTTAAATTGTGTTATATCTCTGTTTATTAAGAGTTCATCTTATATTCTGGATACAAGTCTCATCAGATACATGATTTGCAAATTTTTCTCTCATTCTATAGATTGTTCTTTCACTTTGTGGTATTATTTGTAGCACAAAGTTTTTAAGCTTATTGTAGTCCATTGAATCTATTTTTTTCTTTGGTTGCTTACACAAAAATTTTATTATTTATATTCAAAAATCATTGCTTCTTGTCCTTTTGGCTAAGTTGAAGTGTGTATTAAGAAATCACTGCTTAACTTAAGATCACAAAGATTTATAATGTTAGCTCTTATATTTAATTCTGTGATACATTTTATGTTAATTTGTCTCTGTTGTGTGAATTAGAAATCTAACTTCACTTTTTGGCATATAGAGATCTAGTTTGTCCAGCACCATTTGTTGATGGGACTGTTGTTTTTTCCATTTTATTGTCTTAGTGTTATTGTTGAAAATCAATTAATCATATGTTATATGGTTTTCTGTACACTTGAATCTATTTCAGCATGTCTGTCCTTATGCTGGTACCACATTGTTTTGATTATTGTAATTTTGTTGCAAGATGATAGTTTATAAACTAACTACAATCATTTTACTTTAATTACTTACCGTTGTGCATATGAATAATTATAAATCTATCATTAAATAATGTGTATTAACTTTTAGTAAGTTTTATTTGACCATAACAGTAAACCATAAGTTCCATTTTCATTGCTCATAGCTTATGTAGTTTGGATTTCTGCTTATGCTGCATCTAAAAACAATTAAAGAATGCCATTGATTTAAATGGCAGTTAGATTAAAGAGCCATGTCATATGGCTCCAAAGGGCAGTTGTGTTATTATCTTTTTGTGTCTACTTGCCTTTTGAATAGCCTGACTAAAAAATAAAAAAATTGAATTTTTCTTTTTGTCCTTTATAATTTATAGATTTTGTATGCTGAAACTTCTCAACCAGAAAAAAGGGCCTTCGCAATGTCCTTTGTGTAAGAATGATATAACCAAAAGGTATATAATTTGGATAGTGATGGGAGGCTAGAAGCAACAGTAGTAAGAAATTACCTAACAACATAGCTGGTGTTCCTTTCAAGCTATTCATCAGTAGAAAAATGTGTAAAAGGGTCACTAACTGACAGTAAATTATTTCTAAAGTCATTTTCCTGAAAGTAATATATGTCTACCTTATATAAGCATTAGCAATTAATTGCCTTTCTCTAATGCTTCTGAATGATGCAAGAACTTATAGTCTTATTTAAAGTAGATCTGTACCACCCAACCCCCATTATCTCTTGACCTTGCTTTTATTTTCTTGCCTGCATTTATTTCTACTTAATTATTTACACACACACACACACACTCATTGTGCATTCCTCTTGCCAGTATACAAGTTCTGTTAAAAGTGCTGACTTTGTATCATTTGACACTATTTTTCTAATATTTGGTTCTTAGTAGGCCCACAAGTATTTAAAAGAATAAATGAATGATGCTGCTCTATAGAGTAGAAATAGTGAGTTTTCTATGCAATGGATTTATAGCTACTATAAATTCAGAGTACTGTTGTTTTAGGCAGTTGTAGACTTTTGGAAGGCTTGAATGACCAAAAAAAAAAAAAATTACAAAAACAAACAATAACTGCCATATAGTTTATTCTGGAGTCCATGATGTTTTAATTATATAAGTGTAATGTCTCTCCAAAGCTTTGTTCTTTGAATATAGTTTTTCTCTGTTGCTACATCTTATTGTCATCTGTTTATATGTGTCTTTAATTTAAGGTCCTTTAGTTGATAATCACTTGCTGTCTATCTCTCAATTTAATTTCAGAAGTCTACAAGAAAGTACAAGATTTAGTCAACTTGTTGAAGAGCTATTGAAAATTATTCATGCTTTTGAACTTGACACAGGATTGCAATGTAAGTATTAAATAGTCCCAGAGACCAGTGCTCAAGTGGCTGTCCATTAAAACTCAGGAAGATTGCAAAATTATTTCCTATGAATAGGTGATAAGACCTTTTGGTTTATCTTAATTTTAGCTCTTTTGTCTGTATTCTGTTTTTTAAATCACTCCCACTGATGTCACATCTTAACTTTATTGATCCCAAGATGCACATTATCCACATCATAACATCTCCAAAATTGGGATCAATTTATTGTTGATAGTTTATCATTGTTTAGTTTAGTGTGCTTTCTTTCTTGATGTGCAGAAAATAATGAGTTGTTAGTACCTTAGATTCAGTGAAATACAGTTTTAATGGGCATATTTGTTAGTACTGAGGTGGAAAGAAAGTAAAATAACTTTGAAGATCTGTGTATTTGTTTTCTAAGAATAGAATTTCCAAATTTGATTGTTAAAAAATTATTGGTAGCTTTAATATATTTTCTTAATACAATAGAACCATAATACAGGATTTCTCTTGATTCTTAGATTATGATTAATATATCTTTCCCCACTACAAAAATAATGTTTTCTTTTATAATTCATAGTTGCAAACAGTTATAACTTTTCCAAAAAAGAAAGTAATTCTCCTGAACAGCTGAAGGATGAAGTTTCTATCATCCAAAGTATGGGCTATAGAAATCGTGCCAAAAGACTTCGACAGAATGAACCTGAAAATCCTACCTTGGTAAAGTCATTTTTGTTTATTCTACTAATACCTTTTTATTCAGCACTGTGAATCAGTGAATGCCCTAGATGCTCCTGGGTTAAAGATTAGTACAGGAGGTAAGATGGTCAATTAAGTGGTGGGCAAGTGTTATACATGAGTTAGAGATACTGAGTGAAAGAAAGTGGACAGCCCTCTTTCCTTCTCTTCCCCTCCCACTTTAGTGCTATATCCACTTGTTGCTTATATAAAATAGCACAAGGTCACTGATTGCTTTAAACTTGTTGATTTTTAAAATAATCATTTGTGGTAATTCTCCAGATGGAAGGAAATATCTTCTATTTTATTTCTTCTGAAAAGTTCCAGAAAAACAGTTTTTAACATTTCAAAATTGTTTCAACTTAAAAGCTAAAAATGCAATGATTTTCTTTGTTGTTACTTCTATGTATATAAATAAAGGAAAGCTTAAAAAATAATAGCTCATATAGTACCAGTATTCATTTCTCAGAAGATGTTGAAGGACTCAATGAAGAAGGGCTTCCTCAGAGTGATGATAGATTTTTGAATATTTTCTGTACTGCATTTCTTAGCTATGCTGGATTTTTATTATTTTCACGTATCCTTTTTTTTTAAAGATTGATTTATTTATACATACAGAACTAGGGTACAGGCCAAAGGTGGGGGGGGAGGTGAGAGGATCCATCAGAGACAGAGTGGGGAGCAGAACAGGAAGATTGACTGAAATACATGCTGAGGGGAGCAGTGGGCGGGTCAGGAGAGGTCTGCTGCGCCATGTGGGTCAGCTCCCTGGCCAGATCAAATTCATGCTGCAGTGGCTGCAGATAACTTCATAGTGCTGTACTTTAATCCCAAATGGGGAGGGCCCCATTTATCCCTTTGTAAATTTATTTTATCTATTTGCCAGCCTTATCAGATGTGATTGGAAATGTGTACTGAGTCTCATCCCCTTTCTCTATTGTAATGTATATCTTACTTTCAGAAAAATTACACAAAATTTTGTAAACAGTGCCCTCCTTGGTGGCGTAATGGGTTGAAGCACAGCACTAAGAAGCCACTTCAGCATGAGTTTTATCCCCGCCTGAAGGGGAGGTGATCCATATGGCATGGCAGGCCTCTCCTGACCCGCCTGCTGCTCCCCTCAGCAGTGTACTTCATTGATCTACCTGTTGTGTTCCCCACTCTGTCTCTGTGAATCCGCTCACCGCCCCTGTACCCCAGTTCAGTATGCATAAATAAATAAATCTTTTAAAAAAATTTTTTTTTGTAAGCAGAAATTCTACAAAATTTAAAAATCAGAGCAGGGAAAAAGTATTCAAACATAACTCATACATTTTTGGTCCATAGATTGCCAGGTGTCTTTTCCTGGTGTCATAAATGTTAACTAGTTGATTGTAGTCTATTTTTTTTTTTATCCTTGTTCTTGAGTTTCTCTTCAAGGAAAAAAAAAAGCACAGAACTAGCCAGCAATTAGTTGATCATTCTTTATGTACTGCTTAGCAGGAATCTGGTGGTCTTAGTGTCCAGCTCTCTGACCTTGGAATTGTGAGATCTCTGAGGACAAAGCAGCAGATACAGCCTCAGAAAAAGTCTGTCTACATTGAATTGGGTAAGACACTCTAATTTTCTTTACAATAGCCAAGATAAGGAAACAATCCAGATGCCCCAAATAGATGAATGAATCAAAAGTTGTGTTGCATTTACACACATAAGTATGTGGAATATAGAGAAACCTAACAAAAGGTGGAGAGAAAGCCAAAATTGGCAAGCTGACCATAGAACTGAAGTATACAGAGTAAAGCAGGGGGTAGCAAAACGGGAGAGATGAATGCAAGGGAATCTAGTGATAGTTCACTGGAGATATGGTAGCAGGAGAACTATGGGAACTACATCAATGTAAGGAAGATATGTAATTAATAAAAGAGATGTGATTTTCTAAGTTTAGATTAATAGCTACCAAACTTCTTGTCTTACAGTTTTATTCAAAGCCAGTCATAATTTATACATAAGGTAGGGAGCATTGGGAAGTGAAATAAAAATAATTTTACTAGCCTTATGGTGTGTTATAAATAATGTAATAGATGGAGCTTTCACCTTGAAGAAGCTTGCTTTTTAAAGAGCAAAAGAAAGGCCATTTGGTTTTAAGTATGTGTAAATATACTTTAAGAAATGGAGAGTAGTGTTAAGGAAAAGCATAATGGGTTGTTGACAGCATTTAGAGGGACCTAAAGTAAGCTGTACTAGACTAGAAAGACTTCCAAGAAAAGCTGAGCTAAGTTAAACAGATCTCTAATTTAATTGTCTTACTTTTAGATGTATTTATAGTTAGAAAGAGTGACTGGATTCTCAGGCACGATAGTATATTTTATCATCGCACTTAGCAGATTTTCTTGAAATTCCTTGTGTATCTTTCCCTCATTTAAGATCAGAAGTTCCTAGACAGTGTTGTCATAAAAGTAATCAAAATACATAATAGTTAATATTTAGAAGCACTTACTGTTGTCTCCAAACATTGTTGTGTTTTAGTGGTATAACTCATTTAAGATACATAAAAACTTCTGAAGTTGTTACTATTATTATTCTTTTTACAGATGAGGAAATTAAGGCATAGAAAAATTAAGAAATTTTGTCAAGGTAGTAAATTTTGTAAATACAGAGCAGTGAGTCGAACCTAATAAGCCTGTGTCAGAGCCTGTACTGAAACCTGCATGTCACTATAGCCCTCATATTTGTGTATATATGGGCACTCAATAAATATTTCTAGAATGAATTTCTGCTTAGTAGCAAGTACAACTTTTGCAGTAAAAGCCCTTTTTTACTGATTTGTTATTTGGGGGAATTTTTTAGGATCTGATTCTTCTGAAGATACAGTTAATAAGGCAAGTTGCTGCAGGTGAGTCAAAAAGAGACTATGAAGCTGGTATTGTTGTATATAGTTATTGTTAAGGATTGGTATTGCTTTTGTTTAGAGACATGCCATTGGAATTGTCCTTGAAGGTCGTCATCTACTTTAACCTCACTTTATGGCTAAGAAAATAACCTATTGATTGTTTGATTTCTTAGTATTGTCCAAAAGTTTACTGTAACAGAACTCTGCACAGACTTGCTTTTAATGGTGGTGGTTCTCTGGCTTAGTTCCGCAAGTTCAGTAGTATTGACACAGTCATAAATTGTGACTGGTAAAAATATTAGAGCACTTCATTTTCAATTCTCCTTAGTTCCTTAATTCCATTTAGCCCTCAGACTTTGCCTGTGTTTATTAAACAGTAATACTTAGGATTTATCTCTTGACCTTAGAAAAGATCTCTGGTGACTTTTCTGAACTAAGATGGCATCATTCCCAATCACATTTTGTTTGCAAGCGACTTTTCCTTTACTCTCAATTGGGAGGAAATGGGTATTAGCCTGAAAAGAATCGCAGAAGGCAGTGTGACCTCTAGATGTATTTGCATTCTATTGAAATGTCTGCTTGGCCCCAGTGTATACTCTTTGTTTAGATAGCTTTTGCTCCTATCTTTTCATTAAAGTGTGCTTTTAAATTTTGTTGTTTTTTCTTTACTATCTTGTTGTTGTTGTTTTAACTTATTTATGCATACAAGAACTGGGGTGCAGGCTAGAAATGTGAGGGGTGAAAGGATTCACCAGAGACAGAGTAGGGAGCAGAACAGGTGATGTACTGAAACATACTGCTGAGCAGAGCAGCAGGTGAGACAAGAGCAGTCTGCTACATGGTGTGGGTCAGCTCCCTGGCCCCAGATTGAACTCAGGCTGCATAGCTGGTGATAGTATGACAGTGCTGAGACTTTAACCTCTGTGCCACCATGGAGTCCCCTCTACTTAATCTTTTGACTAGTATTTGGCTGTCATTTAAATATTGACTCACTTGTATGTCTATGAAACCACGTTCTGTACAACTACTCTAATTTCCATGAAAACTCACTCTTTGACTATTCCATGTTGACTAGATGCTACTGAAAGAAAGAACAGATTTCAGAAAGTGAATCAGATCAATCAACTTACTGAAACTCCACTTACAGGAGCCAGCATACTTGATGTTAATCATTTGATAGTTCTGTAACCATGTGTGTCTCATTAGGGCTTCTGTCTTTTCCCTATAGTATGGGAGACCAGGAATTGTCACAAATCACCCCTCAAGGAGCCAGGGCAGAAGCCAGTTTGAATTCTACAAAAAAGGGTAATGGCAAGCTTTGCAAATTAACAGACACTGAAGAGAGCATGGGTATTTACAGTACTGTAATCAGTTTATTCTGAAGGTCATTTAGAACATTTATAATTTACATTTCTTGGCAGAATTAAAATATTGTTCGGTCTGATATATAAATGACACTAGATGGATATGATTGTAATCATTCCCTATGTAATTTGTTGTTACCTTCTGCTTTTAATTGTGAATGTGTTTCATCTTTTGCATACTGGTTTTTAAGTAAAGGGAGTATGAATTGGAAGCTAAAACAGAGCACTGTAGATTTGATGCCCAATCTCCTTTTAATTCACTATTACAGGCTAGGGAAATAGGAGGTGTGGTTTATAAATAGGGAGAATTCCAAAATTATGATTTCAGTGTGAAGATAGAGAAATTGGAGTTAAGTTGAAGAGTATGAGCTGCATCTTTAGTATAATTGGTTGTTTATGAGGTTAGTTTTGCTAAAAGTAGACATTTGATTCATTTCTACCCCCAAGATGTATTGATATCTTTTCATGATAATTCAGTTCTTAAGTACCTTGTTTTTGTATACTTTCAGGTGTTTGTGAGTTTTCTGAAAAGAATTTAACAAATACTGAACATCATCAATCCAGTAATAAAGACTTCACCACCACTGAGAAACATGCAACTGAGAAGCATCCAGAAAAGTATCAGGGTATTTCTGTTTCAAACTTGCATGCGGAACCATGTGGCACAAATACTCATGCCAGCTTAGTACAGCATGAGAACAGCAGTTTATTACTCACTGAAGACAGAATGAATGTAGAAAAGGCTGAATTCTGTAATAAAAGCAAACAGTCTGACTTAGCAAGGAGCCAACAGAACAGATGGGCTGAAAGTAAAGAAACATGTGATGATAGGCAGACTCCGAGCACAGAAAAGAAGGTAGGCCTGAATGCTGCTGATCCCATGTATGGGAGAAAAGAACTGAATAAGCAGAAACCTCCATGCCCTGACAGCCCCAAAAATTCCCAAGGTGTTGCCTGGATAACACTGAACAGTAGCATTCAGAAAGTTAATGAGTGGTTTTCCAGAAGTGATGAAATTTTAACTTCTGATGATTCATGTGATGGGGGCTCTGAATCAAATATTGAAATAACCAGTGCAATAGACGTTCCAAAGGCAGTAGATGGATTTTCTGGTTCTTCAGAGAAAATAGACTTAACGGCCAGTGATCCTCCTGCTTTAAGGTGTACAAGTGAAAGAGTCCGCACCAAACCGGTAGAAAGTAATATTGAAGATAAAATATTTGGGAAAACTTACCGGAGGAAGACAAACCTCTCAAACTTGAGCCATGTAACTCAAGATTTAAGTATAGGGACGTCTATCAGCGAACCTCAGATAGCTCAAGAGCGTCCCTTCACAAATAAATTAAAACGTAAAAGGAGAACTACATCAGGCCTTTGTCCTGAAGATTTTATCAAGAAAGTAGATTTGGCAGTTGTTCAAAACACCCCTGAAAAGAGAAGTGAGGGAACTCACCAAGTGGATCAGAGTGGCCAAGTGATGGATATTACTTATGGTCATGAGAATGAAACAAAACATGATTATGCTCAGAAAGAGAAAAGTGCTAACCCAACTGAATCATCAGAAAAAGAATCTGATTTTGGAATGAAAGCTGAACCCATAAGTAGCAGTATAAGTAATATGGAACTAGAATTAAATATTCACACTTCAAAAGCATCTAAGAATCGGCTAAGAAGGAAGTCCTCTACCAAGCATATTCATGCACTTGAACTGGTGGTTAAAAGAAATCCAAGCCCACCTAATCATACAGAACTACAAATTGATAGCTGTTCTAGCAGTGAAGAGATGAAGGAAAAAAATTGCAACCAAATACCAGTAAGACACAGCAAAAGGCTTCAACTTACGGAAGATAAAGACCCTGCCTCTGGAGCCATCAAGAGTAATAAGCCAATAGAACAAATTAAAAGTTTTGCCAGTGACACTCTGCCAGAACTAAATTCAACAAACATACCTGATTTTCTTAGCAACTGTTCAAGATCTAATAAACTTGAAGAGTTTTCCACTCCTAGCCTTCAAAGAGAAGATCTAAAAGAAAATCCAGGAACAAATCAAGTGGCTAATAGTACCAAAGATCTGATATTTAATGGACAAAGAGGCTTGCAGACTGAAAGATCTGGAGAGAGTACCAATATTTCATTGGTACCTGAGACTGATTTTGGCAGCCAGGATAGTATCTCATTACTGGAAACTGATAGCCTAGGGAAGACAAAAAAAGCACCAAATCAGTGTTCAAATCTGTGTACAACAATTGAAAACTTTAAGGAACTCAATCATAGTTGTTCTAAAGATCCTAGAAACGACGTACAGATTTGTAAGGATCCCTTGAGATCTGAAGTTAACCACACTCAGGAGACAAGCATAGACATGGAAGAGGATGAACTTGATACACAGTATTTACAGACTACCTTCAGAGTTTCAAAGCGTCAATCATTTGCTCTGTCTTCAAATCTGGGAAATTCAGAAAAGAAATATCCCTCAGTCTCCACCCCTTCCAGGGTCTCGAGACAAAATCCAAAAGTCAGTCTGGAATGTGAACTGAAAGAAGAAAGTAAGGGAGAGAAAGAGTCTAAAACTGAGCATGTGCAGGCAGTACACACAATTGCAGACTTGACTTTGGCTTGTCAGAAAGATAAGCTATGTGAGTCTGCCAAATGTAGCATCAAAGGAGTCTCTAGGCTTTGTCAGTCTTCTCAGTTCAGAGGCAACGAAACCGAAGTCATTATTGCAAATAAACATTTCATTTTACAAAACCCATACCTTATACCACCACTTTCTCCCATTAGGTCATCTATTAAAACTACATGTAAGAAAAACCTGGCAGAGGAAAAGGTTGAGGAACATTCATGGTCACCCGAAAGAGCAACACAAAGTAGGAATATCGCTCAACGTACAGTGAGCATGGTTAGCCAAAATAACAATAGAGAAGATACTTCTAAAGAAGTCAGCTCAAGTAGCATGAACGAAGTAGGTTCCAGTACTAACGAAGTTGGCTCTAGCATTAATGAAGTAGGTTCCAGTGATGACAATGTTCAAGATGAACTAGGTAGAAACAAAGGATCTAAATTAAATGCCATGCTCAGATTGGGTCTTATGCAACCTGAAGTCTATAAGCAAAGCCTTCCTATAAGTCCTTGTAAACATCCTGAAATCAAAAAGCAAGGAGAAAATGAAGGCATAGTTCAGGCTGTTAATACAGATTTCTCTCCATGTCTGATTTCAGATAACCTAGAACAACCGATGGGAAGTAGTCATGCATCTCAGGTTTGTTCTGAGACACCTGAGGACCTGTTAAATGATGAAATAAAGGAAAATAATATCAGCTTTGCTGACAGTGGCATTAAGGAGAGATCAGCTGTTTTTAACAAAAGTTTCCAGAAAGAATTCAGAAGCCCTAGCCTTTTAGACCACACATTTTTGGCTCAGGACCACATAAGAGGGAAATTGGAGTCCCCAGAAGAGTGTATGTCTAGTGAGGATGAAGAGCTTCCCTGCTTCCAACACTTAGTATTTGGTAAAGCAGCCAATGTATGTTCTCAATCTCCCAGAAATCCTGCCACAGGGCATTTATCTACAAAAACAGAAGAGAACCTAGTGTCATTGAAGAATAGTGGAACTCATGGCAGTAACCAAGTTACATTGACAAAGGCACACCAGGAACATCACCCTAATGAAGAAGGAAAATTTTCCAGCAGCTTATTTTCTTCACAGTGCAGTGTGTTAGAGGATTTGAATGCTAACACAAGCTCCCAGGATCCTTTCTTAATGATTGATCCTCCCTCCAAACAATTGAGGTGTCAGTCTGAAAACGAAGAAGTTTTGAGTGATAGGGTATTGGCTTCAGATGATGACGAAAGGGAAACTAACCTGGAAGAAGATAATTACCAAGAAGAGCAGAGTGTGGATTCAAACTTAGGTATTGCCGTCAAGTTTCTATGTTTGTCCCAGTGTAGTCTATAGAAATTTGCTAAATTTTCCTGCCTTTTGGGGAGCATATTCTGTGAGTTTCCGATATGATTAAAGTAAGTGCTTGTTTCCTTTGCTTCTAAATTGAGTAAACATACTATAATAAACTTTAAAATAGGATACAGGTTACATAGAAGGAAACTAGAAGGTTAGAGTACTTTTTGTATTTATTTATGCATACAGAACTGGTACAGGCCAGAGGTGCAGGGGCGGTGGGAGGATTCATCAGAGACCATGGGGGAGCAGAACAGGCAGGTGCACAAAGTACACTGCTGAGGGGAGCAGCAGGTGGAGGTCTGCTGCACCATGTGGTTCAGCTCTGGGCCGGGGATCGGGGATAGAACTGGCCCTGAAGCGGCTGCAGCTAGCTTGGAGTGCTGCTTCCTAACCCATTGTGCCACCAAGGAGGGCCCAGGTTATAATGTTTCTGGCTTCCCTGGTAGTGCAGGGGTTAAAGTCTCAGTGCTATCAAGCTATCCCAGCCACTGTGGCATGAGTCCCACCCCTGGCCAGGGAGCTAATCCACTTGGTGCAGCAGACCTCTCTTGCCTCACCCACTGCTCCCCTCAGCAGTGTATTTCAGTTGATCTGCCTGTTCTGTTCCCCACTCTAGGTCTTTGGTGAATCCTCTCATATCCCTCCCTCCCTCACCTCTGGCCTATGCCTCAGTTCTTGTATGCATAAATAAATAAAATAAATCTTTTATAAAAAATGTTACAGTATTTGGGCTCCCCCTGGTGGCCCAACGGGTTAAAGCACTGCATTATGAAGCTCTCCGTAGCCACTGCAGCACAGAGTTCGATCTCTGGCCAGGGAGCTGACCCACAAGGTGTTGCAGATCTCTCCTCACCTGCCTGCTGCTCCCCTCAGCAGTGTACTTTGTCAGTCTGGTTCTGCTCCCCACTCTGTCTCTGATGAACCCTCTCACCCACCACACCTCTGGCTTATACCCCAGTTCTGTAAGCATAAATAAATAAATCTTTAAAAAAAAAAGTACAGTATTTTAAAATTTTTCTGTTTTGAGACAAGGCTAGTAAATCCTACTCCACTGGTGTCTGCCAATTCTGACTGAATGATTTCAGTTCTCTTCAGTCTCATATGTACATTAACTCAACGGAGTGTAGCCACTGGGGCCAAACTCAAAAGTAACTGCTGCTTACGCTTTGAACAGGTTTCTCCTAAGGTGCTTTTCCTTGAAAGTCCTTTAATAGCAGGAATATCTTCTATGTTTGATTGAGATTCAGTGCCCTGATTGTTAGTGGACTTGCTTCTGGGTTTTGTTGTTAGGATTTCTCAAAAGAAGTCCAGGTATCCCAGTACAAAAAATGTAATCGTTTTGTGTGAAACTCAAATCATTTTGAAATTTCTTTTGCCAATGGGAAGAAACAGATACTGCAAGTTTTATAGTATTTGCTGTTTTTACATCTGAATTTCTTCTCATTTAAGGTGAAGCAGCATCTGAATATGCGAGTGAAACAAGTCTCTCTGAAGATGGTTCAGGACTGTCCTCTCAGAGCGATATTTTAACCACTCAGGTAAAAAAATCCTGCATGACTCTTGTGCATGGCGCGCTCTGCATTAGGTAGCATGCACTTTCATTCTTATGTTTACTTAGATCATCTCTTAGAATTAATGGTGTAACAGTTGGGTAGTATTTGTCTCCTCAGATTATTAGATTGTAAATTCCTAAGTGGAACTCATGCTACCTTTTATTTCATATACTCAAGCTAGCTCACTGCAGGACACGGAATACTGAATTTAATAAATAAGTTAAACCTTCAAAAGTCACTTGCCCTAAAGCAAAAACATACATGAAAACACTTCTGTATCAAAGAGCAGGGTCTGGGTATTCGCAGAACCGAATTGGAGCAAGTAGGCTCCAATTTTGAAATTTCTAGCCTTTCACTCGTGTGTGTGTGTGTGTGTGTGTGTGT